ACTGCTCTCACTGATCTCACTGCCACCGAGCCAATTCTGACTCATAGAGAGAGACCCTACGGGCAGAGGAGAACTGCCCCATGGGCGATTCTGAACCGCTGAAAGGCAGGAAAACGTGGCTGACCTTGGGGTTATCAGGTTATCAGGTCTCCTTTAAGAGAACACGATACATTTGATGCTCCAGTTACAGGAGCCAATGATATGCCTTGCTTGTTGTGTGTGCACATGAGACACCTACTGACAATTTTGGAACTACCTGTATGAGGATGTTGCCGCCGTGGTTATACGTTGGGGCGCTACCCACAGCGTCAGCAGGTGGAAGCCAGCAGCCTCTCCTTGGGAGAACGATCTGCCTTTCTTCTTCTGTAATGAACCACCGGCTCAGAAAGGCCCTGGGCGCAGTTCTCCCTGTCCTATGCGCTGGCTGGATTGGCATGGGCCTTGGCCGTGAGCTTGGTTTTCAGTTGGTTTACTCGCTGGTAGGGGACCTGGTGAGGGTTCTGGCTAACACTTGAGGAGGCCATCTTCTCCTACCAATATCTGCAACCTCAGAAACGCTGTAAGAGGTTCACTAAAAGAAAGAGGGGCTTCCACTCCTGTGAAGTGCTACAGTCTCGCCACCCACAGGGGCCGTTCCAGTCTGGAGGGTTTCCATTCAGTCAACAGAGACTCAGTGGCACTGAAGTGAGTATGAGTCAGTATCGACTGGACGACGTTGGGCTCTTGTTTGTTTGTTTGACTCGGCAGAAAGAACTCTGGTGCTGTAGTTAGTTAATCACTGGACCGCTAGCCATAAAGCTGGCATCTCAAGCTCTCCATTTAAACGGTGAGGTTGGGGCCATGAAGAGATTAGATGCCGCAGTTTGACTCTGTTCTGTCACTCTGAGACCGGAACACTTTACTGGACGAGAAAGCCTTTTCTTCCCCCTCAGAGGAGCCAGCAGTTTTGCACTTCTGAACTTGTTACCCATGGACTGATTCTCAAAACTAATGGGAATCGTCTTTCCATCAGATTTACACCCACATTGTTTCATCTAATTTTTTTTTCATGTACTATGATGCACCTCCAGGAAGATTTATTAAATTTGTCCATTTCTGGAATATTACTTTCTACTAATTCTTTCAGTGCAACTTGAACTTTTAATACTATTAGTTCTTGAGCATATGCTATCTCTTGAAGTGGTTTAACATTGACCAGATTTTTTTTTTGACACAGTGCATTTGTGTATTCCTGCCATTTTTAATGTTTCTTCTGTTATATAGTAATTTGACCACAGAATTCTTCCATATTTCAAGTAGAGGCTGTGATAGGTTTATTGTGCCAACCTGGTCTCAAACTCACAGACTCAGTGCCATGGAGTCGATGCCAACTCTTAGTGACCCTACAGGACAGGGGAGAACTGGCCCTGTGGGTTTCCAAGACTAGAGCTCCTTCTGGGAGGAGAGAGTCCCATCTGCTCCCACAGAGCTGCCTTTGGTGATTTTGAACTTCAGATCTTGGGGATCGCAGCTCAATGTGTGACTAAATACGACAACACCAGGGATCCGCAGACATTGGTAATGCTCAATCCATTAAATCTCTATGGATTAAAATTTTATAGCACAAATTTTGGGAAAAGTTTGCAATGTAACCTATAACATTGATTTAGGAAGGCTCTAAATCTCATTCATATGGTGTCCTTATAAAAAGAAATCTAGAGTCACAGAGGGTCATGTGATGGAATAGGCAAAGATTAGAGGGATGCATATACAAACCAAGGAACACAGAAGGTTGATGGGTACCACCAGAAGCTTGTTGGAGGCAAGAAAGATTTCTTCTCCAGAGAATGCAGAGGGTGCATGGCCCTGTTGCCCTTTTGATTTCAGACTTTAGACTTCAGAATTCTGATAGGATGAATTTTTATTTTAAGTCATCTAATTTGTGGTACCTTGCTATGGTAACCCCTCAAATTATACACCTTCCAAACAAAACAAAAATTAGAAAGTGGAAAGCCAGTGCATTTCTCTGACCTATACAGGACTTTTCCCTCAAAGACTTAAACTTTTTCTCAACATCAGTATGTACATGCTTCTTTAAAACTTTAAGTAGTCAATTGGCCATTACTAAAAGGGATTCATTTTTTTAACGTCTGAATTGTTAGGTAAATCGGCCTTCTTTATAGCAGGGCTAAGATAGAGAATATCAGCATTTCACTGTAAGCTACAGTTCAATCATGGAGTCTTGTCCTCCATGTAAATGATCTCCTTCCTTCCAGATCAGGCAAGAGAGAAATCTAAATAATGAACTACGGAAAGGAGAAGCTGTGCATACAGTGGTAACTCCTGTATGCACATGTGACTGCACAGCTTACCGCACAGATGTACATGGACGTTCCATTCATCTCTTTGATGCTGGGACAGAAACTACTAGCCTCTGGAGAAGAGAAAAACCTTCTCTAGAGTTTTGTGCCAGAAAGGAGTTAGGCTCTTAAGATGAATTCAATTAATATGGCCCTCCTAGCCATATGGCCTTTATGCGAAGTATTATAAATTCTGGCATCTATGCCTGTGGCTGTAATCCCCTTTTGGAAAGAGTTCTCTGCTATCTTAGTGGGCAGGAGTGAAGTCAGATTAAGTCTCCACTTTAGTAAAGGGTGTGACGCAAGTCATCATTTTTTGTTTCCTTGAGAACATGATCTGCTGAGAGACAAAAATCACACTTCCATCAAAGCCATTCTCCTGTGTTTAAGAGCGCTCTCAGAAGCATAGAGAAGTGCCAGAGCCATCAGGAGAAGAGCCACCAGTGGATCCCCTCTAAGACCTTTGTTTGAAGTGGCAGAGGGCAAGACTAGTGGCACCAGAGGCCAATTAAAAATTGCAACAACACAAAATGCAGAATTCATTTTCACATTGTATTTTTGCTTTGCTACTCTGATAAAACATATTCTTAAGCTTTCAATAATAATTACCACAGTGTGGTGTGTGCTGTGCTTGGTCAGAATAAAGGATTCATTTATTCCTCTGTGTTGAAGCCAACTGAGGCTAACTTTACCCTGCTCAAGAGCCAGGGAAATATCTCCGCTCTCATGCCATTTCTGTTACTGTTCCCCACTACCTCATTATCCTACTCACATTTCCAGTAACGTCTTTGGAACTAGCAATGTAGCCATTAACTCCGTGGGAATTCCTTTTGAGAAATGTGCAGTTTGTGCCTCCACTGTGCCTGTAGAGTAATTGCCCCATACTAAGAGAAACCGATGTAAATAGTGTGGACTAGATAGCTCAGCTAGTAAGATTCAGGACGAATAATGCCAAGGTCAGGAGATTGTTCTGTATGGTAATCAGCAGGCAGTTAACTTAGAAATAACAATTCAAGGCAAAAGATTAAAACTATACCTTAGTCCAGCGGTTCTCAACCTCTTGGTCACGACCCCTTTGGGGGTTGAATGACCCTTTCACAGGGGTCGCCTAAGACCATATTTCTGAATCTTAGGAATTGAGACACCACTCCAGGTGGGTCCGCCCACCTACAGATACCCCCACATACAGGGTCACCACCACATGAGGAAGTGTATTAGAGGGTCGCGGAGTGAGGAAGTTTGAGAACCACGGCCTTAGTCCATGACTGCTGCTATCATGACGCTCAGGTGGGAGAAAGGGGATGCTTTTTAAGCCCCTCTACATCAAAGCAGGACACTAATGCTTGTTGAAGGAATTAAGGCAAGGGAGAACGAAAAGGGTAAAGGAGAAAGAGGACTAAAGGGTCAAATATGTTTGCTTCTACTACCCGTCTGTCACCTTGTCACACTTTGGTAGTTGTATGTTGGTAATGATGCTAGAAGCTACGGAAACAGTATTTCAAATACCACCTGGGCCATCTAAGTGAACAGGTTCCAGCATGGCTTCTAGACGAGGATCACTAGATGCTGGTGAAAGACTTGTGGGTTTCAACAGACCGTTGTTCAACTCTCTGACTTTGAAAACCTTATGAAGAAGGCCAGTAAGGATTGGCACTGGGACCACAGTAATAGGCCCGAGTACTGCGATAGATTGGCAAAGATTGGGACAAGGTTTGTTTTTAATTATATATGAAGTGTCAACTTGGTGGATGCTATCTATCCAAGTGCAAGTAGAATTGGAATTGGCAAGCCTTGCAGGATGGGAACCTTACGAAGACAACCTTTCAGAATGCATCGGTCTTATCAGTGCAACGATGCCCTGTTATTGCTGTGAGAGGAGGAAAGAACCTACTCAGAGGACATATAGAGATGGTGGTGTGTTGGCAGCAGCATCCTCCCTCATTGGCTAGAGAGCCGTAAGTTTAATGCTAGTTAAAAAAGCATGCTTTAGAAGATGGGTTCTGAGCAGTCTTCAGAAGAGGACAATTAAATTTGAGAGCCAAGGATAAAATTATCTCCGCGTGTGTAATTATTTGTATGTTTTAATTAAAGTGTAAAGTTAAAGGATGGGATTTTTCTAGACCAATGTTTTGATCATTAGTTTGTACGGTCAGAGGAACTGATTAAAACACCTGACCCACGTGGGATAGCATGGGATATTCATGGAGGATGAAGCAGAAAGTAAGACCCTTCTCTCACGTAAAGTCTTCTTATGTACGTACCGCAAGTTCCTCTATGTTTAGTACGCTCCATTTGATAAGATTTTAATGTAAAGATCAGACCCATAGGATAGGTGTTAGTGATAATAAAATGAATCTCAGTTCACTTTTTCCTGTAACTCTCTTTACGTAACCCTTTGCACTTACGACAGAAGCCAACCTGGTTATTTAAACATAGATGACTTGGCGAGATATTATACCAAATTCATTCTGAACTGTAAATCAAAAAAGAAAGGTGCATTGTAAGAAATGATTATATCACCATGCTCACGCTATTGCTATTTTAAGTGCAGTTTTAAGCATGTGGGCTTTAAGCACATCTCTCTTTATTTATGGGAAAATGAAGTATGTGTTTTAAACAACACCTCGGAGTCCCGCTTTAGAAGGATTATTGGGGGAAGACGACAGATATGGAAGACGACCTTGAGGCTGGAAGGCAGCAATGTCAGAAACAGACTCTGAAACACCGTCCAACCTGCGCGTTCTCGGAAGGGCCAACACAGAGATCAGCAGGGGGCCAACGCAGCCAGGTGCTTCCACTCCTTGTCCTCCCTCTGCCGGCTCCCCTCCATTGGTCACAGGGAGCGGGAGACAAGAGGGGTATGGAGCCAATATCTAGAGTGTTGTCAAACAGACACAAATAGATGGGGCACGCTAATGAGGAAGTGTATTAGGGAAGTGTCGTAAGGGCAACGTGATAGTGAGGCTGCTATTGCTCTGGCTGACGAGCGTCAAGTGAATGTCGGAAGAACTGGGCAGTACTTGCCAACCCCTGAGCTGCTTCTCTGTTTGAATAGATTCAGTTCTCATCATGGAAAGAGGAGACACCACGTGTCCCGGAGGAATGCTGGATAATGTCCTCTGATTGGTACGCTGTCTTAGACTTTAGAAAATGACAACAAAGGAGTTCTTAAAAGTCAGTCGTGAGAGGTCCATTGCATACCAAGCCTCGACTCTTAATTGTATGAGCACATTGAGACCAGCAGCTGCTTTGGCTCAGCCTGTGCAATAAACCTCCTTAGATTTGATGAGAAGAAAAGTACTTCAAAGCGAATTGTTCCCTAAACTACCCGTCTAAATTTAGTAACTGACCCCTATTTTCCAGTCAGTGTCTAGTTAAAGAGCAGGCGCCGAGCAGGTTTCAAAGTGACTGTGCTTAACTTACTGACTGGGAGCTGTGATCGATTGATGCCGGGGTGCATGCACCCATCAAGACAAGAGGACTACGAGGACCCACTGGGTGACATTCCAGAGATGTGCTATTATGAAAGCAATGCCCTCTTTTCCCCAGCTTATTTAATAATTATGAAATCCAAGGAAAGTGTTTCTTATGCTTAACTACACACTCCTAGTGGAAATAAACAATTTTCAGAGTGAACATTTTCATATTTTAGATGCACAGTTACAATACAAATCCATATATCCCATGACTGACCTGTAAATATCAAATGCTATTTACCGGGATGTAATGATGTAACAAGCATTTTTTCAGGTCCTGTGTCCATTACAGAGTGAAAAGCAGGTACAGAAGTGAGTCTGCACTGTGGACTCGATCAGAATTCACAGTTACTTAAGCTCTCTGATTCTCAACGGACTCCTATGTGAAATGCAAATAAAAAGGACTCATTTCTTGTTAAATTCAGTTTGGAAGGCTAAATGAGTTAGCTGTAAACCTTCTAAGACTAAAAAGAAAAGCGTTGCTTGACTTATTTTCAAAGGGACATAGTAATGAAACAAGCAATATCCTCAACCGAATACCCGCAACAGCAGAGAGAAAGGTCTGGCAGTTGTCCTCTTGAACATCACGCTGCCGTGGTGGGGCACGGTGAGTCAGCACTGACTTTAGTTCACTGCAGGTGGGTTTATTGTTGTTGTTTTGTTTCTGTTCTAAATTATTAGAGGAAACTGTCTTTTTCTCCTTCTAACTAATATACTTCATAAAATTTTTTTTTTATTTTCCCCCTCCCTCCCCACTCCCCTTCCATCATGAACCCTTCATAGATCATACATTATTACAGTTTTGTCATAAGTTACCCTGTCCGATGTTTCCCTCCGCCCTCTTCTCTGCTGTCCATCCCCCAGGGAGGAGGCAATACTTAGATTCTTGTAATTGGTTCCCCCTTTCTACCCCACATTCTCTTCACCCTCCAGGCCTCGCCCCTCTCACCACTGGTCCTGAAGGAGTCATCTATACTGGATTCCCTGTGTTTCCAGTTGCTATCTGTACCAACGTACATCCTCTGGTCAAGCCAGATTTGTAAGGTAGAATTGGGATCATAATAGTGGGGAGGAAGCATTAAGGAACTAGAGGAACTGATATTAGAGGCTAGAGTAGGAGGCAACTGTGTTGAGAATGATGAGGGCAACAAACGTGCATAGGTGCTTGACACAATGGATATATGTATGGATTGTGACGAGAATTGTACGAGTCTCCAATAAAATAATTTTTAAAAAAAGAAAAAAGAAGAAAAAAAAAGCATTTACACTTAAAAAATTTTTTTTCTTAGTATTCTAAAAAGAGATGAGGAAAATATTTCTCTTTTATTTCACAAAGGGCTAAGTTATCTATGAAATGCATAGAAAAGTACAAGAATGATGAAAGTAAAATTGAGCCAAAAATTTTTAGGTTTAGCTATGAAAGTAGAGAATAATATGTAACTTGTAAATTACAGACACTTATGCCTCTTGGGTTAATAATATGATGAGATTATTCAGCTTCTTGGGTATTTTAAGAGATCATCTATCCAGGAGAACTAAACAGTGGCCACTCAATAATGCATTCAAATACTGACACTCTTTCTTTCTTTCTCCATTTCATCTATCTTTTCCTGATAACTACGAAGCAACTGTCTGATGATTTTTTGCTTCTTAAGGATTCTAGGCCAAACTATCTCATAGCCATCAAAGATACTTAGTCAGTAATTGAAAGTATCCCTACACAGAAAAGAAAATGAAAAGATAGCTTTGCTGTTAAATTTTCCTGGCCACAACTCCCTGTGATCCTGAAATTGTCTCAGAGTGAACATTTCAACCACAAACGAACTTTTCCAGAGGACAGCAAAGGATTGTTCCCTCTCATTTTGTAAATTTATCATAACAAATATAAGTTAGAATATTCAAGATGGAAAATTATATATCTAATAGATAAAACATACTTATAAAAGTCTAAAAAGATTAGGAAACCACAATCCTTAATATTAAGATATTTTAAAATAACCTACGCTTTATGCTACAGGGATATGATCGATAAGATTGTCTATCTTCAATGAACAAGGATGTCAGTAAGGTGAACCAGAGGCAGATAAACATAGATGCACACCGACATCCATGATCCAAGGATTGTAAAGTATATACTCCAAATCTGACGGAGAGAACGGTAGGTTGGGAGAGTGGTAAGGGAGAGCTGATATCAAGGACTTCCGGGGGAAGAAAATGTTTTGAAACTGATTTGGGTAACAACTGTGCAACACTGCTTGATGTGATTGAACTATGGAATGGTATGATGTCTGGATTAGCTTCCATTAAAATGGCTGGGAAAAATATAAAGAAAAATTAAATGTGGGCAATGAATGTACAAATGTGCTTTACACAATTGATGTATGTATGGATTGTGATAAGAGTCGTATGAGCCCCTAATAAAACGATTAAAAGAAAAATTAAATGTGGTGAAGATATTAGATGGTGCCCAGCTGTCAGATAAAGTAGCATCTGGGGTCTTAAAGGCTTGGTTCCAAACAAGCAGCCATCTAAGTGAGATGTCAACTCATGCACATGGAAGGATCACACTGTCATCAGTCACCGAAGGAGTGTAAATCATATAATCTGAAGTTGAAGGAGTCATATAATCAGAGACTAAATTTTGAGAATCCGGTTTACAGAAGGCTATGGTTGACAGTGGTGGCCCAATACACATTTGTGGGAACTACATAGGCAATAAGGCTCCGGGGACCTCCCTCTGTCCATCACTGAGGGATGGGAGGAGTGTGGTTACTAAACAGGGTGCACTGGAGAGAAGACTATCGAAGGTCAAAAGGCTAAACCTGACTCGAATGGGTAAAACCTTGTCGGTGGTTCCTCCCTCTGATGCATGCTAGACCTGATCTGTTTTTCAAAATTTTCTGTATTTTGTTTGTTTATGTTGGGGTTTAATCTCAGATGGGTTATGTCATTGGGAGTCACCCTCTTCAGATGTTGTTATAGTTGTGTTATATGTTTTTCAGTCTTAAATCTTGCCGACACACTCACAAAACCCCTCAGACTCGCTGCCCTCAAGTGGATTTCAGCGCACTGCTGGTAGGTGCCATCCGGTTAGTGCCAGCGCATGTCGACCCTGTGTACGACCGCATGGGACACCGCCAGGCCCTGCACCGGCCTCTCCATCCCCTAAGCTGGAGCCCGTGGTGGCAGCAGCTGTGTGAATTCATCCGGTTGAGGACCTGCCCCTCTTTTTGCGGCGCTTCTACTTCACCAAGTGTGATGATGTCCTTCTCCAGACTGCTCACAGCAACCTGTTAGACGAAGTAGATATGCTTCTGGGGTTCGGGAGACTTGAAATCTTTATGGCCTTATCTTTATCCCAGGGAGCAGCTGGTCCAGCTGGTGGGTTTGAACCACTGACCTTGAGGTTAGCAGTTCAATGTAAAGTCCATGACACCAATAGGGCACCAAATTCAGCATTGGCTATGATTTTTTAAATCTTGGCAAAAATAGTATTATAGTGGAATGTTATTTCCTTGATACAAACATTTTATATCAAAACATTGAAAAAAGCTGGAGCACACTTATCTCATATTTATTAGATAAGGCAACACTAGACGGTATCTTCAAGAACCAGAACAAAACAAAGGAGTTAGCTATCACCATTTCCTTTGCAACAATTATCCTATAGCTTGTTCCATGCAATAAGGCAAGAAAATAGCTAAATAAAAAGCAAAAGAATGGAGAAGAAATCAAACAGCCAAACTCTGGAGTAGATGAAATTGTATCATCCAAAAGGATCTTCAGAAAAAATATTATAATGAATAAAAAACAGAAAATTTCAGGATGTAGTAAGACCAACACACAGTACTAAAATACAATTCGATGTACTGGCAAAGTGATATATAAAATATAATCTAAAAATCGATCATAATTGCAAAATGCAGACGCGGTACGTAAACCAAGAGGTTTTTTTGTAATAGCACAAAGGTATAGTCAATGATTTAAAATAGGATATGTGCAAGAGAGTGTTTTATTCTTTCACTTTACTTATTCAATCTGTATGCTGAACAAATGATTTGAGAAATAAGGCTATGTGATTAGAAGAATCATGAGCAGTTTAGAATATGCAGATGACACACCTTGCTTGATGAAAATGAAGATAACTTGAATCACTTACTGATGAAAGTAAAAGACTACAGTTTTGGTACTCCTTAATATAAGGAAAACAA